CCCGGCCAAAAATTAACTGAATTTTTAACACTCAAATATGTCCACCTCATTCTTTTAAAACAACCAGTTGAGGCCAGATGAGGTGGCTCACACCTGTAATCCTAGCATTTTGGGAGGCGAACGTGGGAGGATCCCTTGAGCCCAGGAATTCAAGACCAGCCTGGGCAACATTGGGAGACCCTGCCTCTACTAAAAAACAAAATATTAGCCAGGCATGACGGTATGCATCTGTAGTCCCAGGTACTGAGGAGGCTGAGGCAGGAAGATCACTTGAGCCTGGGAAGTGGAGGCTGCAGTGAGCCATGATAGTGCCACTACACTCCAGCCTGGATAACAGAGTGAGATCCCATGTCAAAAACAAAAACCATACCAGTTGAGATGGCCAAATGGGTGAATTCAGTCAACAAAAATCAATTTCGGTAAAAAGGAAAGCAGTCTTATTTCAAAGAGCAGGGAGCAAACCTAAGGAAGAAGTGGTATTGGCTGAGAATGCAAAAAAGTTCAGGTATATTCATGGATGATAGATCTTTAAAGATTAATTAGGGAATCTCAGCTATATTAGAAACATTTTTAACATTTGAAGTTGATGAGTTAATCTCAACCATGGATATCAACGAATTTTCTCTTAGTGCCACCATCCACAACAAATTCCTAGCCTAGCATGGTATTTCATATGACATTAAAAAAATGTTAAACAGTTAAACTTATCTGGTAGGAATAGGTGCAAAAGGAAACAAATAAACCAGTTCTTGAGCTAAATGTTCCATCTCCCATCCCAAAGCGTGGCCTCAGCTGACAAATTGCCATCTGTCTCTATCTGGTTTCAACCCAAAGAGGAAGGTGAGAATATTTAAGCTATTTCCCATGAAAATAAACTTGGGGTATTGAATATTTACTTGAATTTTTGTCTGGAAGCCGATCTATCTTCCATACCACTGCCTGGTAGGCACTCTCATATTTTGCTGACCCCACAGTGACTTGAATGACAGGTTCAGATTCAAGTTCATGTAAACTCCCCAGACAGGCCCGGCGGTTCATTTTGGCTTTCAGAGACTTCTGCCTCTGGAGATTCATGGTCCAAAGGGCCTTGATCCACTGCGATGGGACAGGAAAGTGTATCATTATATTGTCACAGGACCTTAAGGAACCAGCATGGGATGACCTCTGCGCCAATGGGGCCATGTTGACAAAAGCCTGAAGTTCCACATATGCTCCCTGGACAACCACTACAGACTTCAAGGAAAACGGAAGATCATCTCCATTATACAAAGTCTTGAAACGCATCAGCTCACACCGGCAGGCATCCAGAGGCACAAACTTAATGATTCTTGATTGCTCAAATACTTGTACTTTCACACACTTATGAAAATGGTAGTCAAGAATATTAATCCCTTTTTTTTCTGAGTCCTTCTCAAAATAGGATTCATCTCGCTTCGGCAGCTCAAGGTCATTCAAGGTTAAAAAGCATTCCAGGTTCCCATTCACAAAGCAGAGGCAATAAATTTGAGTTATCACAGCACTTTCAACTAATTTCCCTTCTTTTGTGACTTTACCCCAAAAGTTGTCCACAATTTCTAAGGAAATTTCTTGCTCCTCATAGTTCTTTTTTGGTTTTGAAATAGCTGGCAACTTCATCAGCTCCTCCTCCACAGTAGTCAGAAAGTCAAGGAAGTCATGGTACGATGTGGACCCCAACTTCAGCATCTGCTCTATGTCTGGTTCATGAACTACTTCTGTCTTAGAATGGTATTTCCTTTTTTCTGTGTAAGACACATGTTCAATCTTCACAGTATGGATTTTTTCTGCTACACTGAAGTTCTCAACCTTGGGTTCAGAAAGCCTACAGTATGGATCAAGCTGTATCTCTTTAAAAGGTTTTTCTAATCCCTGCTCATAATACATCTGCAAAATTCCTCCAGGCAAAACGTTCAGAAAAATTGGTCCCCATTGCCGGGAAGACATCATATTCTTCTTCTCAGGAATTCTCAGCATGAAAGACCATCCAGCTTTTGGCTGACTCCTGAAGAGTGCATGAGGGACAAAGGAAGAGGAATTTTCTTCAGCACATAGACAGTGCATAGACAAACTTCTAAGTGAGTCTTGGTTCTCAGCTGACTGGAGATGCTCAAGCTTCTCACAGATATAGTTGAGTGAACACTTATTTAGGCTTTTTTGATCATTAGGCATCTCCTTGTCTCTTGATGAGAACATCTTTTTGCTTCCTGATGGGTCAAGGGTGAACTGGGTATCACTGCCTTCATCTTTCCAAAATGGACTTGAAAAAGCACAGTCCTCTCGAAAATACTGAAACTGGGGGAGATCATCACTTTGGAATCCTAGGCTTTCAGCCTGGTGAGGGTTAACTTCATCTGGAAGACCTACTTTGGGAGCTGGATGTGTACATGAGTGGTCACTGGGCAACAAGGCATGGGATGAACATGTTGGTCCGGTAGTCAGTAAGGAAGATTCTCCTCCTGATATTGTGAGTGGGCTGTCTGAAGATGATTCTGGAATAGGATAAAGCACATGAGTCCCTGCTTTGGGGATGCCAGGAAAACCTGGGAAGTCTTTGGTAGGTGTAGAAAGAGGAGAGTTACTTGGAGGTCCTGGACTGAAATAAAAGTCTACAATGGGGGAGGAGAGAGGGGTGCTGCTGGTGGAGGAAGATCCACTGGGAAATTCCTTGAGGCCAGGAAGGTTCAGCTTTAGTCCATTTGGTCTACAGACACCTTGATTCTCCAGAGGAAAATTCTTTGACTTTTGAGAAGATTGGAAAGCAGGATCATCATCAAAGGTGACCCAGTTGCCTGGGTTTGTGGAGCACATCTTTGGGATCAGATTGTGGTCTTGTCAAGAAATCAAATAGGTTGTCTCTGTTAAAAAAATAAAATAAAGAGAAAATAGGCATACAAAATGAAGGGGGGAATCATTACTAAAGGTCTTTAGTTCTGATAAATATTTGGATGTAAAAGCACCCAGATTTACAAGTTCAAAGAAATGCTTAAAAATTATAATTCTGTTGGTGGCTAAGTGGATTTAAAAAAAAAAAAAAAAACCATGATCCAACTATATGCTGTCTATAAGGGACTCACTTTAGATTTAAGGACACACATATGCTGAAAGCGAAAGGATAAAAAAAGATATTCCACGCAAATGTTATCTAAGAGAGAGCAGGAGTAGCCATACTTAAGCAAAATAAACTTTAAGTCAAAAACTATCATAGGAGACAAAGAAGGACATTATATAATGATAAAAGAGTCAATTCACTAGGAAGACATAACAATTATAAATATATATTAACCCAGCTGGGAATAGTGGCTCATAACTGTAATTCCAGCACTTCGGGAGGCCAAAGCAAGCGGGTCACCTGAGGTCAGCAGTTCGAGACGAGTGTGGCCAATATAGCAAAACCCTGTCTCTATAAAAAAATACAAAAATTAGCCAAGCATGGTGGTGGTCACCTGTATTCCCAGCTACTCGGGAGGCTGAGGCAGGAGAATCACTTGAACCTGGGAGGCAGATGTCACAGTGAGCTGAGAAAGTGCCACCGCACTCCAGCCTGGGTGACGGAGTGAAACTCCATCTCAAAATATATGTATATTTATATATCCAACATCAGAGCATCCAAATATATGAAGCAAGCATTAATAGAATTGAAGGGAGAAACAGATAGCCACTCATTAATAATTGGAGATTTCAACACCATACTTTAAACAATACACAGAACATCCAGACAGAAGACCACTAAAGAAACAATAGACTTGAACACTATAAACTAAACTAAACTGCCAGACCAATACAGAACATTCCACCTAACAGCAGCAGAACACATATTCTTCTCAAGCACACACAGAATATTCTCCAAAGCAGATCACATGTTTGGTTACAAAACAAATCTTAACAAATGTGAGAAGACTGAAATCACACAAACATTTTTTCTAACCACAATGGAATAAAACCAGAAATTAATAATAGAAGGAAAACTAAAAAATTCACAAATATTTGAAAATTAACATACTCTTGAACAACCAATGGATCAAAGAAGAAATAAAAAAGGAAATTAGAAAATATCTTGAGACAAATGAAAATGAAAACATGGCACACCAAAATTTATGGGATGCAGCAAAAGCAGTACTCAGAGGGAATTTTATAGCCAAAATGTGCCACTGCACTCCAGCCTGGGCAACAGAGCGAGACTCCATCTCAGAGAAAAAAAAAAAGAAGAAGAAGAAAGAGGGCTGGGTGCAGTGGCTCACATCTATAATCCCAGCACTTTGGGAGGCTGAAGAGAGCAGATCACCTGAGGTCAGGAGATCAAGACCAGCCTGGCCAACATGGAGAAACCCTGTCTCTACCGAAAATACAAAAAATTAGCTGGGTGTGGTGGTGCATGCTTGTAATCCCAGCTACTCAGGAGGCTGAGGCAGGAGAATTGCTTGAGCCTGGGAGGCGGAGGTTTCAATGAGCAGAGACTGCATCATTCCTCTCCAGTCTGGGCAACAAGAGAGAAACTTTCTCTCAAAACAAAAAAAAGTGATCTTGAAAAAACTTGATATCCACATGCAAAAGAGTGAAAGTAAACTGTAATCTTACACCAGAGATGTCCAATCTTTTGGCTTCCCTCAGCCACGTTGGAAGAAGAAGAATTAAGGCCAGGCACAGTGGTTCACGACTATAATCCCAGCACTTTGGGAGACCATGGTGGGTGGATCACCTGAGGTCAGGAGTCCAAGACCAGCCTGGCCAACATGGTGAAACCCTATCTCTACTAAAAATACAAAAAAATTAGCCAGGCCTGGTGGCATGCAACTGTAATCCCAGCTACTCAGGAGGCTAAGGCAGGAGAATTGCTTGAACCTGGGAGGCAGAGGTTGCAGTGACCCAAATTTATCCTGGGTTCCTGGGCAAACACATGAAACCTCCGTTCAAAAAAAAAAAAAAAAAAACGAACACACAATTACAATCATAAGACTTGAAACCTAAAACTCTGGGGTTTTTTTGTGTTCTTCCTTGTTTTTGTTGGCTGTTGTTGTTTTTTTTGTTTGAGACGGGGAGTCTCGCCTGGTCCACTCAGGCGGAATGCAGTGGTCGGATCTCAACTCCACTGGCAACCTCCCGCCTCCCTGGTTCAATCGATTCTCCTGCCCAGCCTCCCTGAGTACTGGATTACAGCAGCACCACCAATGCCCAGCTAATTTTTGTATTTTTAGTAGAGACGGGGTTTCCTCATGTTGGTCAGGCTGGTCTCAAACTCCTGACTCGCGATCTGCCCCGCCTTGGCTCCCAAAAGATGCTGGGATTTCATGGATAGCCACTGCGTCCAGTGAAAACATAAACCTCTTAGAACAAAACGCAGAGAAACATCTTCATAATATTGGTCTTGGCAATGATTCTTGATATGACAGCAAAGCATAGGCAACAAAAGCAAAAAACAGAGAAGTGAGACACCATTAAACTTAAAACTTTCTGCACAGCAAAGGAAACAATCAACAGAGTAAAAATGGGTAACATAAAGAATGGAGAAAAATATTTGCAAACTGGTATTTTCTTATAAGGAATAATACCCAGAACATATAAGGAACTCAATAAACTCAACAGCAACAAATAAGAATGCAATTAGTAATTGCAAAAGTACTTGAAGTAGACATGTCTCCCAAAAAGACATACAAATGGCCAGAAAGTATATGAACAGATGCTCAACATTATAATCATCAGGAAAATGCAGATCAAAACTACAACGAGGTATCACCTCATACCTTCTAGAATGCCATTATTTTCTTTTTCTTTTTTTTTTTTTTTAAATGATAACATGGCCAACCACAGTGGCTCACGCCTGTAATCCCAGCACGTTGGGAAGCTGAGGCAGGAGGATCACTTGAGGTCAGGAGTTCAAGACCAGTTGGTCAACATGGTGAAACTCATCTCCACTAAAAATACAAAAATTAGCTGGGTGTGGTGGCGGGTGCCCGAAATCCCAGCTACTCAGGAGGCTGAGGCATTAGAATCACTTGAACCCAGGAGGCAGAGGTTGCAGTGAGCCGAGATCCCACTGCACTCCAGCCTAGGAGACACAGTGTGACTCTGTCTCAAAAAAAAAAAAATAACAAAGGAAAAACCAAGATCTTGGCAAGGATGTAAGAAATCGGAACCCTTGTGGCATTGTTGCTGCAAATGTAAAGTGTGCAGCCACTATGAGGAAATAATATGGGAAGGCCTCAAAAAATTAAAACAGGGCCAGCTTTGGAGGCCACACCTCTAATCCCAGCACTTTGGGAGGCTGAGGACAGGTGGATCACCTAAGACTAGGAGTTCGAGACCAGCCTGGCCAACATGGTGAAATCCTGTCTCTACTAAAAATACAAAATTAAGCTGGGGCATGGTGGCGGGCACCTGTAATCTCAGCTATTGGGAGGCTGAGGCAGGAGAATCGCTTGAACTCAGCAGGGCGGAGGTTGCAGTGAATGGAATATCACGCCATTGCACTCCAGCCTGGGCAACAAAGCAAAACTCCAATCTCAAAAAAAAAAAAAAAAAATTAAAAATAGAACTACCGTATGATCCAGCAATTCCCACTTCTGGGTATTTATTCAAAAAATTGAAAACAAGGTCGTGAAAAAATATTTGCACTCTCATATTCACTACATCATTATTTACAATAGTCAACAGATAGAAACCACCTAAATGTTCATCGATGGAAGGATGCGTAAAGAAAATGCAGTATATTCATACAAGAGAATATGACTCAGCATTAAAAGGAAGAAAATTCTGACACAGGCTACAACATAGTTGAACCTTCAGCACATTATGCTAAGTGCAGTAAGCCCATCACAGAAGGACAAATCCTACATGACTCCTCTTATACGAAGTATGTAAAGTAGTCAAACTCATACAGCAGAAAGTAAAACGGTAGTTGCCAGGAACTGAGAGAAAGTAAAAATAGGAAGTTGTTGTTCAGTTGGTATAGTTTCAGTTATGTAAGATGAAAAAGTTCTAGAGATTTGCTGTACAACAATGTGCATATCGTTTATAATACTGTTTTGTACACTTAAAAACTTTTAAAAGAGTAGATCTCCTGTTACGTAGTTTCATTTGCCACAATTGAATAAAACTGGAATACATTTGAATCAACTCAATAAATCTCTATTTGAGTGATCACTATGTACCCAGACCTTGTTAGTATTGTGAAAAACACAGGAGGAGAAGATTAAAAATCCAATTTATAATGAACTTATAACCCACTGACAGTCCAAAAATATGTGAGGTTTACAGTTTAGAAGCATTTTCAAATTCACAATCTCATTTATCAAAAACACCCTGTAAAGTGTATTATTATTCCTGTTTCATAGCTGAGATGCCTTGGCTTCAGTTTCATTGCCTAAAGTCGCCCAGCCAGTAAGAGGTAGAGCCAGAATTTTTTAAATAACAGTTTTATTGAGATATAATTCCTATACCATGAATTCACCCTTTTTAAAAAAAGTGTCAATTCAGTGGCTTTTAGTATGTTAACAGAATTGTGCAACCATCACAACTATCAAATTCCACAACATTTTTTTTTTTTTTTTTGAGATGGAGTCTCGCTCTATCGCTCAGGCTGGAGTGCAGTGGCACGATCTCGACTCACTGCAACCTCTGCCTCCCGGGTTCAATTGATTCTCCTGCCTCAGTCTCCCAAGTAGCTGGGATTACAGGCACACAGCACCACACCTGGCTAATTTTTGTATTTTTAGTAGAAATGGGGTTTCGCCATGTTTGCCAGGCTGATCTTGAACTCCTGACCTCAAGTGATCCACCTGCCTCAGCCTCCCAAAGTGCTGGGATTACAGGCGTGCACCACTGTGCCTGGCCAAATTCCACAACATTCTTTTCATCCCAATAATAAACCTTGTATACTTATTAGTAGTCACTCCACATACTCCCCTTCTCACAGGCCCTGGAAACCACTAAACTACTTTCTGTCTCTGTGAATTTGCCTATTCAAGACATTTCATATAAATTGAATCATACAGCACATGGCTTTTGTGTCTGGCTTCTTTCACCTAGCATGTTTCCAAGGTCATCCATGTTGTAGCATATGTCACTGCTTCCTTCCTTTTTAAGGCTGAATAGTAGTTCATTGCATGGAAATATCACACTTTGTTTATCCATTTATCAGTTGATAGACATTTGGTTTGTTTCCACTTTTTAGCTATTTTGAATAATGCTGCTCTGAATATTTGTGTATAAGTTTCGTGTGATCATTTCTCTTGAGTATACACCTAGGTGTGAGAAAAAACAGGATTTGAATACAGGTCACTTCAGCTCAACCTGATACAACAAATTACTGAAATTAATCTAATGACACCAGAGGGAATGAAGTGTAAGGACCACAACACTGATGTGGGGCTTGGATAACCCAAATTCTAGGCATTGCTCTGTCACTCACTAGCTGTGTGCACAGCCTCTCCAGACATTCAGTGATTACACTAGAATGAGCTCTGTGGTCCTTTCCAGCTGCAAAGTGATGCTATGGTAGTTGACATCCAGTGGAAAATTTTGTCAAAAGCAGAAATTGTATTACCACTAAATACATGGGCTTTAGTGCTGGGATATTTATTTATTTATTTTTCAGAGGTGGGACCTTGCTATGTTTCCCAGGCTGGTCTCAAATACCTGGGCTCAAGTGATCCTCCTGCCTCAGCCTCCCAAGTAGCTAGGATAGCGCTAACGTCCAAACTGACAGAAAATGAAACTCCCTGAGATCTACTGATGTAAAAATGCAAACCCTGCTGGAATCAGGCCCTTGGGAAAGGCCTATTTTTTTCTCTCCAGCCCACTGTCTTGCCTCCCCTTGTGGATAATGAAGCTTCCACCAATGCAATCATTCAACCTTGGAAAACAGCCAACATAAAGAGTGAGAGGGCCTGGGGCTCCGCTAGGGACAGAGCACTCACTGTTGTCATTTGCTGCATCCACACATTCCTGAGGGCACAAAAACACACAGCGGAGGGCAGCCCAGGCTGCTGGCTCTCTGGAGGCCATTTCACTGTCACTGCCCTCAGGCTGAAGTTGCTGTGAAGCACCTTCCCTCAGAGCAGGGAGAGCAGGGTTTCGTTGGGACGCACCAGGAGGCTCAGAGGTGGGAAATCAGCAGCACTATTTCTCACCCTCTTCAGAAGGCATCCAGCCAAAATAACTCCTCCTATGGGATGACAGTTCAGGAAAATATTTACTTTAGTTGGGTTTATTAAAAAGAAAAGAAAAAGAGGAAATAATTCCATTTCAGACCAAATAAGGTTCTGATGTATGCCAAAAATTTCACCTCATCAGTTTTCCTTGTAGCTTCAAAATTAGCAACAGTGGTGTTGGTTTCTTCAGTTTTTGCTTATTATGAGACAAATAAACTGATTTCCATAAGCAAGACAAAAGAAATCAAGCCCATTACTTTGTAAGCAGTCCTGAATTTTTTTAAAGCAAACCTTACACAGAAATCTCCTAACTTGAACCCCAGATCTATGCAAAGTGCACTCCTACCCCCTCACTGTCCACATTTCACCCCTGTCCAGGATTCTTCCAAAGGAAGCAGTCAGCAAATGTGATGTGAGTTTTATTCAACCAAATGGAACTTCATATGACGCCCAATAGGAACCCAAACCTTTATCCTAGAAGTTTGATACTACTCTGGAGTCAGCAGCTCTGATTCCCCATTGTGGAGGGGAGGCCTATTTCCCACTGTGCTCCTCTTCCTCCCCTCTTCAATCTCTTGCTATCTTCCTTTATCAATCCTTTTTGTTTTTCCCCAAGACAGAATCTTCCTCTGTCACCCAGACTGGAGTGTAGTAGCACGATCTTGGCTCACCGCAACATCCACCTCCCGGGTTCAAGTGATTCTCCTGTCTCAGCCCCCTAAGTAGCTGGGATTACAGGTACCTGCCACCGCGAAAGGCTAATTTTTGTACTTTTAGTAGAGACAGGGTTTCGCCATATTGGCCAGGCTGGTCTCAAACTCCTGACCTCAGGTGATCCACCCACCTCAGTCTCCCAAGTACTGGGATTACAGGCATGAGCCATTGCACCCAGCCTATCAATCCTTTTTACACTTGCTTCCATTTCTCTCACCTCTTTCACCTCCTCCTTCTCTATGACTTCATCTTTCTCTTCTGGTCTCAAAACTCACCAGCCAGTTGGCACAAAGTCAACAACTAAGATCAATTCCATGCATCACCTTCCTTCCCTTTCCTTCCCTCCTAATCCTCTCGTAGGAAAGGGGGTCACACCCTGTCCAGGGCCTTGGTCTGTTAGAAGCCTATTGGGTCTCTGAGAGATAAGAAGGCTCAGAGAAGTTTAGATGCATTTTCCTCAGTCATCTGCTACTTTAGCCTATGCACTTTGAGACATTGTAATCCAAGAGTATTCAAGTGGCAGCATCTATGTAACTTCAGTTTTGTTTTGTTCTGTTCCTGCATTACAAGTAGGGTTGGTCTAGATATGTAACTGTTCCTCCCAGAAAGCCCTTCACAGGCAACATCTCATTTAAACTGCATGACAATCCAGAGCAGACCACAGCATCTGGGCACTTTCCCCAAAGTCTCAAATCCAGTTAGTGCAGAGCTGGGAACCAAGGATTTCTGGCACCAAGTCCCCAGCTGCCTTCCTCTGAAGCAAAGATTCCTCTCTTCTGAGTCCCTGGCTTTTCCCTCAGCTGTGGACTCCATCCCAGCCTGCATGCCCCATACTTTTCAAAGGTCTGTTTTCAATCTGGAATACCTGCAAATTCCTAGAGGACAATTGCACACAAAATTCAGAGACAAGGCCAGTCACGGTGGCTCATGCCTGTAATCCCAGCACTTTGGAAGGCCGAGGCAGGCAGATCACTTGAGGCCAGGAGTTCAAGACCAGCCTGGCCAACATGGCAAAACCCTGTCTCTACCAAAAATACAAAAATGAGCTGGGTGTGGTGTTGCCCCTCGCAGCTACTCAGGAGGCTGAGGCAGGAGAATCGCTCAAGCCCATGAGGTGGAGGTTGCAGTGAGCCAAGATCACTCCACTGCACTCCAGCCTAGGGGACAGAGCAATACTCTGTCTGGGTAAAGGAAAAAAAAAAAACTTAGAGACAGCCCAAGACATCAAGACTCTGAATGAAGCCAAGAAAGAAAAGGAGAATGTATTATGGCGAGAATTTCTAGAAAACCATTTTGGAGGTTCAAAGGTTTCTAGGGAAGTGTTTGCTTCCTCTTTAGACTATTAGACATTTTCTTCAGCTGCCTGTTTTCAAAGTACTGAACTCAAGAAGAAATTAAAAGAAGACACACATGCCTATTCACACCAGGAATACCAAGGATCTAGGAAACAATGGTTTGCAACCTTAGACCTCAACATGTGAGACAAATGTCATTCAAAAGCCTAGCACGTGCTCTTGGATGTACCTGAAATTTAGCATTCCCCATATTTAGGGAAGCCCTGAACTAATTCATTGTCCCTACCATTTTAAGTGGTGATAGGAGGGTTCACACGAAGCATGAACAAAGGCTGCATTCGCATATAGTTCGTACACTCCACCCCTTTCTCCCACTTAAGAAATCATATTGGAATTATTATTATTTTTTTTTAATTTGAGACTGAGCCTCACTCTGTCACCCAGGTTGGAGTGCAGTGGTGCAATCTCAGTTCACTGCAACTTCTACCTCCCGGGTTCAAGTGATTCTCCTGCCTTAGCCTCCCAAGTAGCTGAGATTACAGATGCACACCACCACGCCCTGCTAATTTTTGTATTTTTAGTAGAGACGGGGTTTAGCCATGTTGGCCAGGCTGGCCTCAAACTCCTGACCTCAAGTGATCTGCCTGCCTCTGCCTCCCAAAGTGCTGGGATTACAGGCATGAGCCACCATGCCCAGCCTGGAATTCTTGTAAGAGTATTATGGAGATTATCATGAATTGACTCTAAATCGTTTAAAAACACATCTTTCACAAACAGCAATACCTTAAATATTATTACAAATTGATTATCCCTAATTCAAAAACCCAAAATCTGAAATGCTCCAAAATTCAAAATGTTTTGAATGCCAACATGACACTCAAAGGAAAAGCTGACTGCAGCATTTTAGATTTGGGGATGCAAATATTCCAAAATCCAAAAAAATTTAAAACACTTCTGGTCTAAGCATTTGTACTCAACCTGTAATAATATTGCAAATTACTTGCAACAAGCCCTACAAATAAGAAGCACTGGTATGGAAAAACAATCTCACAAAAAGGAATTTAAAGATAAAATCTTTCAAGCTATCATAGGAAAAAATTAATATATTCTTTGAGAATCAGACTGAAGCTTTTTCAAGGAAAGAGCATGTCTCATTTATTAAGACATTTTCCGCACTGTCTACAAATGTCTGACACAAATACAAAAAGCTTAATACATTTCTGATTGAATAATTTTAAATGGTGTTTGCACTTGCCCACAAATTAAATCTGTCTACTTCCCTCCCCAGTTCAAAGAATCACTGGATAAGACATTTTCCACACTGTCTACAAATGCCTGACACAAATACACAAAGCTTAATACATTTCTGATTGAATAATTTTAAATGGTTTTTTCGTTTTTCCACAAATTAAATCTCCCTACTGCTCTCCCCAGTTCAAAGAATCACTGGATTTTAGGGTTAGGAAGACATTGAAGGCATTCTGTTCAATTAACCACACTAACAAACATTTATCAAGTAACTATGTGTTCATGGTGTGCTCAGGGCTGTAGGCTATATATGCACGATCTCATTTAATACTCACAATCTCATGAAGCAATATTATCATTATTTTGTAGAAGAGGAAAATAAGTTCAAAGAAGTTAAGTTACTTGCCTAAAGTTGCCCGACCAGTAAGACGTAGAACCTAGACTGTGACCAGGTCTGTCCAATCCCAAAGTCCATCACCCTGGAGATCCAGAGAGATCCAATGCCTTGCTGGTGTCAGGGGTCCTGGCTTTTCTGCACTTTCCACCACCCCACCCTTTACTAATGAAACAGCACCAGGGCAGAGCCACCACCACTTCCTGGAGCCAGGAGCTCTAGATTGGAAGGATGCTGTTCTCACCTGAGAAGAGCCTATTTCTCCAGCAAGCCCACCACACGTATCTGCCCCTTGGACATCAGGCTGTGGGAAAAGCAGACTCTGTGATAATTTTCCCCAAGGTTGCTCAAGAACAACAGCTCAGTATAAATTTGGGTCATTTCTGAGAATGGCTTTCATAACTCAGCTCGCCCTATTTCCTGCCCCTTCTTGACTGCATCAATTGGCTGTCCTACCCTTAGTGATGACCAATTTCTCAGAATTGTTGTCTAATAAATATATTTAGGTGCCCCGCCTCTCTTTTAGTGGCGATTCTGGTATTCTGTGTAATTTTCCAAACTTTGTGTAACTCCCTGCAAAGTCCATCCCTCCCACACCATCATCCCCTACTCTCCTCCATCCTCAAGGGTCTACTTCTGCCATTCTTTGCAGTTTTCCTCTACTCTTCTTCATAAACCACTCAAATAAAATGTAAATATGAAGTTCTGCCTTCTCCTGTAGATTGTTGAAGTCAGATTAGATGCATGTGATAGGTGAAACAGCAATCCAGGTCATTTGCAGCTGAAGACTTTGTCTCCACTTCAGTATGCATCTGTGGGGAAAAGCACCCTCCAGTGTGGTCCCTACTGTCTGGCTCTGCTGTTTCTGCCAGATGTCGGGGGAGGACTGATGCTGGGGAGGTATTCAGCAGAGCTCAGGAAGGCATCAACACCTCTCAGTAGCCTCCGGGTATCAGCCCAACCAAACTGTCCCTGTTGGGCCAGTTCCTACTTAAGCCTCAGGAACACCCTGTCCTTCAGCAGAGGGCTGAATTGAGTACTTCATGCCTGTGGCTTCTCCTTGCTCTGTAATAATGCTGCATAATCTAGAGAAAGAATGTCTTAATGTCAGTGTGTCTGTGTGGTTCCATTGGCTGTTTCTCAAAAAAGGAATTCTCAGACTCCCTATAGCGCCAGACTCCTCAAGAGCAACATTGTAACCAGACTGGAGCAGCATTTCCAAACCCTCAGTCTGTTTTTGCATGATTGGAGGGCTGCAATCCAGCTACTGTGCATTCCAGAAACAACTGTACATGCTGGAGACAAAGCCAGTCAGGGACAAGCCAGTGTGTAAACATGCAGCTGTGAAGCATTTTCTTAAGGGCTTGCTATGACAGTATTTAAAATATCATTCCTGGCCAGGTACAGTGGCTCACGCCTGTAATCTCAGCACTTTGGGAGGCCCAGGCGGGCAGATCACCTGAGGTCAGGAGTTCGAAACCAGCCTGGCCAACAAGGAGAAACCCCATCTCTACTAAAAATACAAACATTAGCCAGGCACATTGAAGGGCACCTATAATTCCAGCTACTCAGGAGGCTGAGGCAGGAGAATCGCTTGAACTCGGGAGGCGGAGGTTGCAGTGAGCCGAGATCACACCATTGCACTCCAGTCTGGGTGACAGGGTGAGACTGCGTCTCAAAAATAAATAAATAAATAAAAATAAAATCCATTTCCTTCTAAAGGGGAAAGCAAAAGTTTGGAACAAAAAGGAACCATCAGAAAACACAATACCTTGAGGAAAATTAAAAAGCCTCGCCTTCATCTTAGGTCATGGGGGAAGTGCCCACAGGCTGCATGAACCATATTATTAGCACATATGTTCTACAGCTCACAATGCTTCATCGCAAACATGTGTGGTATTCAGTTCAGCTATGTGACAGGGAATAACATTTGTAAAATATTAAACCACAGCGAAACCTAACCATAACTTCAAATATTGTCAGTGCTGGTTCCAGCTGAATTCCCCAACACTGCCCCTTCCCTATGACCTTTAACCTTCATTTTTCCCGCGTGAATTTGGGTGCCAGCTTTTTTTTTTTTTTTTTTTTTTTTTTACGTTGTTGTCATAATCTGTTCATTTCCTAAATTTAGAGAATAGTGACATGGATTCTCCCTTTGACCAAATTCTAGCCAGGCTCGGAGCCTGCTTCTTGAGCAGCCTTTCAACCTCAGCCTGTAACAACTTGAACAAACACTAATATAGCTTCTAATGGCTCGAGGCCACACCACTACACCAGCCTCTCTTAAAGTGCCTGCCTGCCAAAACGCAAGGCTGCCTGAAGAATTCAAGGTTTGTTTCAATCAACGCCTGAAGATAGGGTCTCTGCCTTCCAGCCTCAGTAGGAGGGTAGGAGCCTAACTTTGATAAATGCCAGTTTGCAAACCCAGATGGATTTCACATGGACCAACCCCTCCTTCCAACTTTTTGTAATTTTTCACTTCCCCAACTCCCTTGAGCTCATTCATTCTTTAAAATGCCCAGTCACAGGCTGGGTGTGGCAGCTCATGTCTGTAATCCCAACACTTTGGGAGACTGAGGTGGGCGGATCACCTGAGGTCAGGAGATCGAGACCAGCCTGACCAACATGGTAAAACCTTGTCTCTACTAAAAATACAAAAATTAGCCAGGCATGGTGGTGGGCACCTGCAATCCCAGCTACTTGGGAGGGTGAGGCAGGAGAATCACTTGAACCCAGGAGGCAGAGGTTGTGGTGAGCCAAGATCGCACCACTGCACTCCAGCCTGGGCAACAGAGTGAAACTCCATCTCAAAAAAATAAAAAATAAAAATAAAACATAAAATGCCCAGTCACCTCTGCACAAATGGAAAATAAGTTTGGTTCAAGCTAGACTCTTTTCCCTGTTGCAATAGTTATTACCAATTAAAATCTATTCTCAGCACTTTAACTGATGTCCAGCTGCTTTTATCTTTGACAGTAATATGAACAGAATCCAACCCAAACTGGCTAGTCCCAGAAAATGGTCATTACATGCACAAAGAAAAGATTTAGAGTTGGATGGATATTCAGATTTTAGAATTTTATCCTTAATATCATGACTTTTCTATGATGTATCCATGCCATATTCATGTCACTGCCATAGATGCTATAGAAATTTGCTAAGCAGGTCACTGAGCCACAGTTTCCTCATCAGTAAAACAGTAACATTAATTTTACCTCATACACCTCATACATAAACTGCCTCATAAAAGTACTCGATATATGTTAGTTTTCCTTTCTCCTCCTCTGTCCTTACTCTAGCCTTTAGAACACCTGCTTTCTCCAGTCAGGAGGAAGCTAAAGAGGCCCAACTCTGGACCTTGGTTTACCATCAAGACAACTTGCTACGAATCCTTTTCTAGAACTGTGTCTCCATTCTGCCTAACTTACGACGAAGCCTCTATTCTGCCATGGGGATCTGATCATACAATTCCCTGTCTTAGATCCCTGTGCCCAATTCCCTGCTCAGGGATCCTCCTTTGTTATGGGCTTAATGTTTGTGTACCCACAAAATTCCTATGTTGAAACCTGAATCTCAATGTGATGATATGTAGAGGTGGTGCCCTTAGAAGGTAATGAGGTCATGAGTGTAGAGCCCTCATGGATAGGATTAGTACCTGTATAAGAAGAAGCTGGCAGGCTGGGCACGGTGGCTCACGCCTATAATCCCAGCACTTTGGGAAGCTGAGGCGGGCAGATCACCTGAGGTCAGGAGTTCGAGAGCAGCCTGCCCAACATGGTGAAATCCCGTCTCTACTAAAAAGTATAAAAATTAGTCCAGCATGGTGATGCATGCCTGTAATCCCAGCTACTCGGGAGGCTGAGGCAGGAGAATCACTTTGACCTGGGAGGCAGAGGTTGCAGTGTGCCAAAATCGTGCCACTGCACTCCAGCCTAGGCATAAAAAGGAAGAAAAAGGAAGAAGAAGGAGGAGAGGAGGAAGAGGAGGAAGAGAAAGAAAGAAGAAAGAAGAAGAAGAAGAAAGAAGAAGAAGAAGAAGAAGAGGAGGAGGAGGAGGAGAAGAAAGAGGAGGAGGAGGAGGAAGAAGAAGAAGAAGAAAAGAAGAAGAAGAGGAAGAAGGAGAAGGAGAAGGAGTGGTGGAGGCAGCGGCGGCAGCAGCGGCAGAGCCCAGAGGACCTAGCTCATGCTCTTTCTGCCATGTGAGGATGTAATGAGAAATTAGCCATCTGAAACCCTCACCAGAACCCAACCATGCCAGTACCCTGATCTTGGACTTCAACCTCCAGAACTGTGAGAAATAAATCTCTGTTGCTTATAAGCCACCTGGTCTATGGTATTTTGTGATAGTAGCTCCAACTTGAAGACATTCTTGAAGATACCATCTCTCAAAATGGAGAAAGGTTAATAGGTTTGTGGAGAAAATATCCATGGTAAAATGCCTTTAAGAAATCCTTATCGGAAAGGGTTTACAGGTCTCTTCATGGCAATCCTTCCCAGAGCCTGTCACGGGCCTCTAAGAGGAGGAAGAAACAGGTAGTTTTCCTTAAGAACCCACGTGGAAGGCAGGCACGGTGGCTCACACCTGTAATCCCAGCACTTTGAATGGCTGAAATGAGTAGATCGCTTGAGTCAGGAGTCCAAGACCAGCCTGGGCAACATAGTGAGATCTCATCTCTATTAAAAGTTAAAAAAAAAAAAAGAAAATTAACCAGGCATGGTGGCATGTTGCTGTAGTCCTAGCTCTTTGGGAGGCCGAAGTGGGAGAACTGCTTGAGCCTGGAAGGTTGAGGCTGCAGTGACCTGAAATCACACCACTGCACGCCAGCCTGGATGACAGAGTGAGACCCTGTCTCAAAAACAACAACAAAAACCTACATGCAGGGTTTGCCTCAGAACCGTCAGGAGCATGCTGAAGATACAAGAGACTGAGCCTAGGGAACACACAGTCCACCTTTACCTCTGGACCTCTGGACCCCTCGGCCTTTCATAGTCTGTTGCCCACTGTCTGCTATGACCATGGGGACTGGCTCTGTTTCTAGAGCAGCTTCTTTCACTTAGCAGGGTCTCAGCATCACTCAGGACAAGTAAGAGCCACAGATTCTTTCCCTGGGACACCAGCAGTCTTCCTGCCTTTGCTTTCTCAGACAGCAGACCAAAGAGCTTCCACACAGACCATGACTGGTATGAGCTCTTGCTTTTGACCTTGGCAAACATGTGAGGGCTTTCTTCCCAGAGCATCCTCTGGGCATTGAGAGTGGCACCTGGCAGCTCTCGTCACAGCCCCTCTGACTGTCAACTCTCAAGTCTCGCACCCATAGGCCCCAGGCCTTTCCTGGCTAAGGTGGGGAAATCAGGGGATCTCCCCATGGGAATGGGTCTCTGCAATGCTGCAGGATGCCCAGTGTGCACTCTGCCAAGGGCCATGGGGCCACAGTCTGTCTCCACTCAACCTTACCATGTCACCACTACTGGTCACCTGCCCTTCACAGGCCTCTGGGAACCCTCCTCAGTTTTCCACTACAGAGGGCGAGGTCAGTCAGTCTCTCATCTACAATTTGAGTAAGTAGCACTGAACTCTTGGGCTGTTCTCTCTGAGGAAAGCGAGCACCCAGTGTGTTGTTCAACCAAGTGTTCTCCAAGTTATCAAGGAGGAAGCTCCCTTAATGGGGGCTTTCCCTGTGCTGGACATAGTGCTGGGGCTCATGGTCTCAACCAGCCATCTGTCTGGACTATAGGTCTGCTCTCCACCCACAGAACCTATAGGTGGCAAGATGGGCAACTTCTGAACCCCAATTAAAAGGAGCTGCTCCTTCGTAGGCTTCTGTGCTCTAGCCACAGCAAAGGCTCAACCCAAGAAGGCAGAAGAGCACAGAGATTTAGCATCATCAGCTTTCATGCCAAAGTCACTTGACCTCTCATGGCAGTTCTTCTACTTAGTATCTCTGAGGCAGTGTTGCTTCATATCTTTTGGCCTCAATTTCCTCTTCTGTAAAGTGAAAATAACACCTACTTCACAAGGACCAAAGAAATTAATGTTAGTAAAATTCTGCATAGTAGGCACTTTAAACAAATGTTTGTCGCAAGTATGGGCAGGGTGTTCAAATCAGCATTCGTCATTGCTACAAGCCTGGGAGCCCTGAGCAGCAAGGCGGTGCCAAGCCTGCAGGCGTCCCCACTGAGTTCTGAGGTTTCTGTACAACTCTGAATTGGTCTCTCATTCTCCAACAACAGAATATCGAGGTTCAATCCTAGTGTATCCTGAATTGAAAAATGTGTAAAATGAAAGGAACTACTTAATCAAGCAATTCAGAACAGCACCTAGAGATGTCAAAACTAACTGGGAAAAAGACTAATCAAAAGTAACATGAGGCCGGGTGTGGTGGCTC